AAATAACTGTAGATAACATTATCTCTAATTTCAGTGGGTGAGAGATTCAATACCACTGCTGGCACCCACTTATTCCTGTTAGTAAATTTGAAGCTTTGAGCCGAGCAACGTGCTCCTGTACCGCCAGTAAATTAATTTTCCTGCTTGGTCTTCTTTTGTTAAAGTTCACTTAAATGTACCATAAATCGCCTTTTAGTATATAGGATTACACCCCAGTGAGCCCATATATTAGCTGTAGATTAACCCCCCCCCCCCATCCATCCAGCCGGCCATACCCATAATATCATTTTATTTTTTTTTAATAATTGAGCTTGATAATCTTTTGACCTTTACCCCATGGAGAGCCGATTATTATAAACAAGAAAAAAAGCGGCCAAACAATGGCTGCTGTAGCGCGTGAACTGCCCATGTACCGAAGTTGCTTGACAAAATATGCATTCAAGTAGCGCACTTTATAAGAGTCCATTTTGGTGCAAACTTCTGGAAATTTGATTGTGCGCACCTATTAAACATAGGGTTGCAGCTTACACATATTATACCCAGAGAATGATTAATTGGGATAAAATCCTCAACCAATCTAGACGTGACTAACTGAACCTGCAGTTGTCTATCAATATTAGTAGCCGCTCACATCTAGTGCACCTGCAGTTGTCTATCAATATGAGTAGCTGCTCACACCCACACCCAGTGCACCTGCAGGTGTATATCAATATTTGTATCTTCTCACATCTAGTGCATCTGCAGGTTATTTAAAATATTAGTAGTTGCTCACATCTAGTGCATCTGCAGGTTATTTAAAATATTAGTAGCTGCTCACATCTAGTGCACCTGCAGGTGTATATCAATATTAGTAGCTGCTCACATCTAGTGCACCTGCAGGTGTATATCAATATTAGTAGCTGCTCACATCTAGTGCACCTGCAGGTGTATATCAATATTAGTAGCTGCTCACATCTAGTGCACCTGCAGGTGTATATCAATATTAGTAGCTGCTCACATCTAGTGCACCTGCAGGTGTATATCAATATTAGTAGCTGCTCACATGATTGAAATAAAAATGAAATATGTTCTTGTTTTGTTTCGTTTTTTTTAAATATGTTTTTTCATCTTAGAATTAATCTGCCTTCAACCTTCATTCTATTTTTGCAATGTCTAGAGATGAACCTGAGTTCATAATCATTAGGCTATTTATGATGTCTAGAAATGGAACTTATTCTGAGAGTTCATAATCATTAGGCTATTTATGATGTCAAGAGATGGAACTTACTCTGAGAGTTCATAATCATTAGGCTATTTGTGATGTCAAGAGATGGAACTTACGCTCAGAGTTCGTAATCATTAGGCTATTTATGATGTATAGATGTGTAGCTAACTCTGAGAGTTCATTATCATTAGGCTGTTGGTGATGTCAAAAGATGGAACTTACTCTGAGAATTCATAATCATTAGGCTATTTATGATGTCTAGAAATGGAACTTATTCTGAGAGTTCATAATCATTAGGCTATTTATGATGTCCAGAGATGGAACTTACTCTGAGAGTTCATAATCATTAGGCTATTTGTGATGTCAAGAGATGGAACTTACGCTCAGAGTTCGTAATCATTAGGCTATTTATGATGTCCAGAGATGGAACTTACTCTGAGAGTTCATAATCATTAGTCTATTTATGATGCATAGATATGTAGCTAACTCTAAGAGTTCATAATCATTAGGCTATTTATGATGTCTAGAGATGGAACTAACTCTAGGAGTTCATAATCATTAGTCTATTTATGATGTATAGATATGTAGCTAACTCTGAGAGTTCATTATCATTAGGCTATTTATGATGTCAAAAGATGGAACTTACTCTGAGAATTCATAATAATTAATCTATGATTGTATATTTTTGCAAGTATCTGAATAAGGTCTGATTGTCTCTTTTGTTTTCCTTGTCTGTGGCATGGTGTATTTCATAAAGGAAAAAAAAAACTTTGAACCATTGTAACAGTAGTGATATAATCCAGTGTTGTACTTTGAGGGCTCCGAAGTGGTGACTAGCCTTGGCAGCATTTTGTTAAGGTCCTCCACAGGTGGTAGTCTTGGAGTCGGAGAAGAAACTGCACTGGAATTATATCAAATATTTTTTATTCAAGAAAAGCTATAGTTGAATGTATATTCCCGAAAATTACTTCAAACAGCCGCACGGAGACCGAAGCAGTACTTCAAACAGCTCTAATTAACACCGGAGCAGTACTTCAAACAGCTCTAATTAACACCGAATCAGTACTTCAAACAGCTCCAGGGAGACTGAAGCAAACAGCTCCAGGGAGACCGAAGCAAACAGCTCCAGGGAGACCGGAGCCTCAAACTTAATTTTCAAAAACCGCATCAAAAGCATTTTCTTTCCTTCAGTTAGGTAGAAAGAGACACTATGGTGGAACATGCAGCGTGTACTGTCCAGGACAACTTTCTGAAACAATAATTGGTTAGGCGATCACTTTTGGGACCCGCGTTTCGAAGATGTAAAGCAATCGATATTGCAAGCACGCCGGAGCACACAGATCCATTCGAATCATCGATCACATTTGAAAAGTATAGATTTAGGACGTCACGCCACTCAGGTAACTGGCCACACGGGAAGACGCTAGTTTGGCACGCAGTTAGTCACGTGAGCCCGAGGGTGATCAAGCGTACAAATTAAGCAGTTAGGGCCACGTGTACTCATTGCACACTCCTTTTAGGAGATGTAGGCCTTGGTAGAAATTTCAATTTTGTAACAGTCGAATCCCCGAGTAGGTGCCATCCTGCTGAATACTAGCAGATGTTTGAAAGCATCAACAAAAAAATAAAAATGAATATATTTAAACTTTTTTTTTCCATTAAGAGAAAAATAAAATCGAATTAAGGTCACTTTAAGAAATGATGAGGCTGGACACACGCAGGAAGAGTATTCCTGAGCTCAATGATTAGAGATGGATGTAATGATGGAACACGTGTGTTGTCTTCAAGTCAATGATCAGAGATGGATGCAATGATGGAATACGTGTGTTGTCTTCAAGTCAATGATCAGAGATGGATGCAATGTTGGAATACGTGTGTTGTCTTCAAGTCAATGATCAGAGATGGATGCAATGATGGAATACGTGTGTTGTCTTCAAGTCAATGATCAGAGATGGATGAAATGCTGGAATACGTGTGTTGTCTTCATGTGAATGGTCAGTGATGGATGTAATAATGGAATCCGTGGGTTGCCTTCACGCAAATAGTGATGATTGAAATCATGGAATACGTTTTTTGCCTTTAAGTCAATAGTTAGAGATGCATGTAATGATGGAGTACGTGTGTTGTTTTCAGGTGAGTGTTTAGAGATTGATGCAATGTTGGAATACGTGTGTTGTCTTCAAGTCAATAGTTAGAGATGCATGTAATGATGGAGTACGTGTGTTGTTTTCAGGTGAGTGTTTAGAGATTGATGCAATGTTGGAATACGTGTGTTGTCTTCAAGTCAATAGTTAGAGATGCATGTAATGATGGAGTACGTGTGTTGTTTTCAGGTGAGTGTTTAGAGATTGATGCAATGTTGGAATACGTGTGTTGTCTTCAAGTCAATAGTTAGAGATGGATGTAATGATGGAGTACGTGTGTTGTTTTTCAGGTGAGTGTTTAAAGATTGATGCAATGTTGGAATACGTGTGGTGCCTTCAAGTCAGCAGGTATGTTTATTCATTTTTGTCGTTGAAATCTTCACAATTATTATGTTAATAAACACATTTCTTCCCTCGTTCAAGGCTGTTGGATTGCAACTGTTCTAAAGTCACATGTTGGTGACTCGACATTTGGCCTATATGACATTTTGTTGATATGGACATTTTGTTGATATAGACATTTTTATATAGACATTTTTTATATGAACATTTTTTATATAACGTTTGTTGATATAGACATTTTGTTGATATCGACATTTGGTTGATATGGACATTTTGTTGTTATGGATATTTGGTTGAGATGACATTTTGTTGATATGGGCATTTTGTTGATATAGACATTTTATTGATTTAAACATTTTTTAATGTGGACATTTTGTTGATAGACATTTTGTTGATGTAGACATTTTTTGATATATACATTTTGTTGATATGGACATTTTGTTGATATAGACGTTTGTTGATATGGACATTTTGTTGATTTGGACAGTATTCGTTAAAGCAACACACAAAAGCGAATAATTCTTGAGATTATAGAAATTGTGAAATAGCCGGCGGGCCGGATTTGGTCCACGAACCGTAGTTTACAATCACGGGTCTAAACCCTTAGACACTCATACACGTGTGAGCCCCCTCCCCCCCCCAATCTTCCCCCTACCCGGTGTTAAAGATCTGGTCCGATCCACAGGTCTGTTTCCCCGTGGTGGCGCCACTTCCGGCGTGCTGACCCCTGGACGTTAGGACAGTTTCAGGCTATTGATTCCCTGGGACAAATCTCGCGCCCTGTACCCAACGTCATTTCTGGAAGGGTTAAATTTGAGGCTGGGCCCCCGTGCGGTCGCCAGTCTGCTCGATTGTTTGTCTAAGACCTTGACTTTCCCTCATAGTCGCCGTTCCCACAATTTGTGCCACACCCTAAGTCAACAACGTCCCCCTGGACGGGCCGTCGAATTATCGATTCAAGTCAAAATCTCATCAGTGCTGGGGTACAAGGGCCGGGTTGCGAGAGGCTGCCCGCCATGGCAGACGTATCTGGTCCATAGTCTATACCAGTGGTCACAATACGTTCGGCTAGAGAGGGTTACAATGTAGAATCATTTTATTTAAGGAGGGGACCCTAAATGTTGTTCTTATTTTTCAAAAATTAATTGTTGTGTGTCCTATGGTAGATTACAAGTATGGAGAGAGACAAGTATGGAGAGAGACAAGTAACTCATCACAAATCTTCTGTCCGTGATTTAAAAAAAAATAAGTTTTTTAAATTAAAAAAAGAAGATAAGAATAAGATTAAAGATGAAGAATAATTTTTCAGAAGCACGATTTAATGGCAAGAAATATTAATATTTTAATTATTTAATTAAATGTGTTTAATTATTGTTTGAAAAGATATGCATTATTTTTTTTCCACTCGAAAAAAAACACGTGTTATGTCCCCTGTTGTATTTACAGAAAATCTCAAAGGAAACCATCGACATCGGAGTCTATAGTCATGAATGTAAACTATGGGGAATGTTTCACTGTGAATCAGTCTAGTAACATGTGCACTCGTCAGTCATGTATCTTTTATATTTTAAAAAAACAGCAATCAATTATGTTAATTATTTAGATACTCATGGATATGATACATTCGAACTACAGCTCAGCCGCCTTAACAGCTTTGTAGGGTTTTACCTGGTTAATGGATGGGTTGGTTAGTGCGTGTGTGTTTGGGGGGGGGGGGGAACTGTGGAACTCTTATATGAAAAATATATTATGGGGGTAACTGGGATTCTGCCCCTATCCTAATATGGTACTGACCTGGCACTTACTTTTTCTTTTTTTCTAGGCCAGGTAGCAGACTTGCGGTTGCAAATGTAATTATTTTGTGAATTGGTTTAAGCCATCACCTTTATTGAAAATTGTCATTGGACGTTAACACGATTTCATTCAATGTAAATTTGTAGCGCGGTGCTTTAGTTGGTGGAGATTATTATTGGAATGGTTTTTATTGTTTCTAATATTCATTATTACCACTTCAAAGAAACTGTCATTCTAGGAACCAAAAACATGCTTCACGGGAAATTTCTCCTGTGTGTTGATAAAGTGTCATGATTTATTTTATTTTGTTAATAACTGGCTGTCGATCTTTTGGGTGTGTCAGTAATTAATCAACCGTCGAAAATGATGAATATTTTCTCAGTGATTGTCGGTCCCAAGTTTGTGCTGCCTGGCGACGCTGTGGTCGGTGGTGATGCGGGAGGGGCAGCGGTCGGGGTCGCCGTTCGTTCGTCCCAAATGATTGTGACGAATTTCTCAGTGGATGTTGATCTGTTCTGGGCTGTTCCCGAGGTCGGTGTTATGGCGACGCCGGTAGGAGGGGAGATTGTGCTACTGGAGACTTTTGCGGCATTGAGTCGACTTGTGTCCTGAGGATCATAATTAAGTAGGAAGGTCGAGCTTTTTTTAAAAAAGTTTATTTAATCAGTTGCCTGTTAACAAAGACTGAATTTCTTTAAAAGGCTGATTTATTTTTTATTGTTGCCCAGACCCTGATGAGAACGTAGACAAAACATGACACGGGCATCGCACCCGCGTCAAGTGACCCGGGCATCATACCTGCGTCAAATGACCGGGGCATCACACCTGCGCCAAATGACCCGGTCCTCACACCCGCGCTAAATGACCCGGGCATCACACCTGCGTCAAATGACCCAGTCATCACACCTGCGCCAAATGACCCGGGCATCACACCTGCGTCAAATGACCCGGGCTTCACTCGTGGGACAAACATAGTAACACTACAGACATATACACAAGGAAAGAAATGTAAACGAAATAATATACATATGAAAGACAACTAGTCTTAAAAAATGAGCGAAAAAACTGTTATCGTAAGAGGTTAAATAGTAAAAATTGACGTCATAGGGTTTGGTGTCCAGCATTGTCATGAATCAGCCAATCAAGGCATTTGGCTATAGTCATGTTTAGATATCTAATACACGACTCTTATGGGGCAATAAGATATTTAACCGATTTGGAAAGAGGCGAAAAACAAACAGAAATTAACGTAAACTATTGAAAATATCTAGAAGTTTCAGTTTTCCACCAATTGACTTCATTGCGTGACGTAACACAGAAATTAACGTTAACTATTGAAAATATCTAGAAGTTTCAGTTTTCAACCAATTGACTTCATTGCGTGACATAACACAGAAATTAACGTAAACTATTGAAAATATCTAGAAGTTTAAGTTTTCAACCAATTGACTTAGTTGCGTGACGTAACACAGAAATTAACGTAAACTATTGAAAATATCTAGAAGTTTAAGTTTTCAACCAATTGAGTTCATTGCGTGACGTAACACAGAAATTAACGTAAACTATTGAAAATATCTAGAAGTTTCAGTTTTCAACCAATTGACTTCATTGCGTGACGTAACACAGAAATTAACGTAAACTATTTAAAATATCTAGAAGTTTCAGTTTTCAACCAATTGACTTCATTGCGTGACGTAACACAGAAATTAACGTAAACTATTGAAAATATCTAGAAGTTTCAGTTTTCAACCAATTGACTTCATTGCGTGACGTAACACAGAAATTAACGTAAATTATTGAAAATATCTAGAAGTTTCAGTTTTCAACCATTTGACTTCATTGCGTGACGTAACACAGAAATTAACGTAAACTATTGAAAATATCTAGAAGTTCGTTTCAACCTCTCTGTGACTCATTTAGGAACCGTTTATTTGTGTATTTCTTTATATTTTTAAGAGGCCAACATATCCAGGTTATTAGGGTTTACACTATATACCCAAGGTTAAGGAAGCAAACTGATTTTATACTATATTCATTTTTTTTTTAAAGTGTATATTTGCTGCAAACTTTCAAAGCCGGTCCATATGTCTTACCGTAGTAGAGTCCCCTGGACTGATGATTCCGAGAGCCAGTAGGATTACAAACAAAGTCAAAACAAGAACGATAACTGCCGCTATCACGAGACCCGCCGTCAAGAGTTTCACCCTCTTGTTTCTGCTGCCATAATAAGGAGGGCCAGTCTCCAGTTCATTCGTGTAAGATTTCACTTGCTGCGCCGGCTTGGGATGGGACCGAACTCTCGAGTCCAGCGGCGTCTTCTTCTTCTTCACTTGGCTGTTATAGCCGTTGTGAATGTCAACATTCACTTGTTCCGTTATCTTTTCGGAGTTCCGGTTTCGAGGCGTTGGCAAGGCTCGGAGTTTTGAGCTGTCCTGCAAGCTGTTCTGGCTGTTCAGGCTTTTTGGTCGGTGTTTGGATATCGGACCGGACAGCGAATAAATCCCGTTGTAGTCATAGGTCCCGGCAACATCTGAATACTTTGGTGGGTCAGAATTTGACAGAGAGATCCTGTCAAGATGGCCGCTTAAATTGTAGAAGGAATCCTGTCCTGGGGACAAGGACGATTCTGTCGATTGGTTGCTAGATGGTTTTCTGGAAGATTTAGATTCTGAACGCAGTTTGGTTGGGGTTGCGTCGAGATTAGAAGTTGCTAGCGCTTTTTGTACCAGACGGCTGATGTCATCGCTGTAGCCGTGAAACTGATCGCTCGTGTTTGCCATTGTTGTATTCTCTCCACCGGAAAATAGTAAAAATTGTGTTCTTTCTTGCCAGTGCGGTTCTTGGCTGCACTAAACTTACCACTACTTGCCCGTTAGTCAGTTAGGATCTGCAAGGTAAATTGTATTCGAATTAGTGAATTATGATAATATAATTCTGATTGACCACATTTCTAGTGATTTTCTGGAAAGGTTTGGGTTTTTTTTTTCAACGACAATATACATTGCTCATTCAACTGCACAACTCTTCCATTGTTATTCTGTTACACCATTTCTCGATTAGCTTTTCCTGACCATCCACTTCCCCCCCCCCTGGACCTCTTTACAACAAACTGTCCATGGCTTGCCTTATTTATGGGTCCCACTTGAGCATTCATCAATTAGCCCAAACATTGGAAGGTTAAAGGTCAATTTTCGGCACGTTCTCGAAGGAATTTGTTAGTAAACAATACCTTTAGTAAGAAATACTTTTAGTAAAATATACGTTTAGCAAACAGTACCTTTAGTGAACAATATCTTGAGTAAACAATACCTCTTGTAAAAAAAAATACCAAAATGGCAGGGATTTTAAACCTGTGGTCCACGGATTACTTGGGAGTCGGTGAAAATTTATCAGGCTGAATTTCCTTTTTTGCATTGTATTATATGGATCTAAAGACGGCGTATTTCTACAATATGGCCTTCATCTGGTTTGCAAAGGGGCCATTGAACTTCACCCACAACAGCAGGACATTATTTTCAGCAGTTATATTGGTGCTGCCAAAGACATATAAATACTATTAATATATCATATGAGCCATAGCTACGCCAAGAACATTCCAGAATGACATTCTTATCTCTCACATAGACCCCAGCTAACATGCATATATTTTGCAACCATGTCGTTAACGATTTAAATGTACCCTTTATCAAGTGTTCCTTATGTAAGATGTTCCCTATATCAGGTATTCCCCATTAAGGGGGAGTCAATTAAATATGGTTAGACTTAATAAGGGGGGAGACTGCAATCAGGATAGCACAATAGGAAGTGAGTAAAATAAAGTAAGGTTAAACCTGAAAAAAGGAACGCAACAAAACAACGAACGTGTCGACAGGAAGCCTTCGTCAGCGAACAAAAAAACAAAAAAAAACAGAACAAAATTTAAAAAAATAGCACTTAGCTGAGAAGTAGTATTCGAGAAGGGCAACAATTCATTTGCTTTCCTGTTGGATACTACTTCTCAGCTAAGTGCTATTTTTTAAAATTTATTATGATTTTCTGTTTGTTCGCTGATGAAGGCTTCCTGTCAAAACTTTCGTTGTTTTGCTGCGTTCCTTTTTTTCAGGTTTAACTCTACGGTACTTTGTTTTACTCACTTCCTATAATTTCATTGGCAGCCCCATGACAGTGGTGCTCTATTTCAGTGGTTCCCATCTCATTGCTCCACCAACTCAGGGGATCTATCTCAGTGACTCCCCTGAATAGTGGTAGCACTATATCAGGAGTTCACAATTTTCAGGATTGTCTATCCTTGTGGTGACCTATATTAGTGGTGCCCCCCCCCCCTTCTCAGTGTCCTCCATCAAACATTAACTGTGGCCTTATATATACTTACCTTTTTCCAGGGCTAATAAAAATAAGAGTAACACTTTCAAACAAGAAATAATTCCATGCAGAAAGCAAACAATGTGAAATAAATCTTTGAAACGTCCAGGATCTGACTTTCACGATTTCTAAATAAAACCAATTTCATGGAAGTATTCCCTTGTAGTTTCTTGTGAGGCCTGAATCTAACTTATAACTTAACAATGGCGTGAACAAAGTAAACCGAAATTTTCATTCTGCACAAGAGTAACATGACTAGAGAGTAGTGTAGATCTAGACTAAAGAGTATAGTAGATCTAAGCGAACGCTCTATCTCAAGATTTCCATTTCACCTGAACGCCTTGCCCCCCACCCCACCCCCTATCGGTTAGATAAGGACAAATTAGGCAAGTCTGTTGTAGTGGGTCAGAGGTACACCAAATATCGATTTTGTCCCATTGAATCACGTCAATGTGATCGGCCATACCCTACGTACCATAGCTAACGGTAAACAAACACGGCATGAGTACGAGGTTAACTCGACACTGTGGTCGAGTCACTAACAGAACTTGTTGTCGAAGGCGGGGATCAGTGTGTTCCAATTATTGTATTGTGCGCGTATTTTTTTTTCTTTTTTGACTCACGAAAGCCTAATTAAAAATTATGGTTAGGCTTACTATGCTATTATTTTCAATTAACGTATCATTATCTGAACTACGCTGCACAATTGTGTCATCTAATTAATGATATAAATTCGAATAAATTAATTTTGTAGCTGTTACGCACTGACTTGTATTGGGAGAAATTAATCTCCTATTTTAATTTTAATTGGCTCGTTGTACACAGTGCCTAACAAAGGACGATACCATATAATCAACAATATTAAGGATACGACCCAAAACAGTTTCTAGTCACAATTAATTACGATTTATTATGTCTTAAGATAATTACAAAATAAATAAAATAAAATTACAATCTTCAACTTACAGTATGGCAGATGTCGTACCGGTACACAGTTAATACAATTAGAAATAATGATGCCAATAAATAATGCGAAATAAACACATATAAGTAGGAGCACACAAATACACAAAAGAATAAAACACGCCTCGTAATGTTAAGAGAATCTATATGAAATCTCCGTCCGTCCGTCCTCGTCCGTGCCTGTCAATCCTTTATATAGGTGGGTCTACCGACGCCCAAGCCCTGCCTTCGAGACATTTCGAGAAAAATCCCAATCATTCTACCAAATACTATTTGGAACAGATTAATTATTTTTAGTGGCTGGCGGTGTATACAAGGATACTTCAAAGGCCTAAGCCACGCCCCTTTAAAGATAATTACAAAATAAAATAAAATAAAATTACAATCTTCAACTTACAGTATGGCAGATGTCGTACCGGTACACAGTTAATACAATTAGAAATAATGATGCCAATAAATAATGCGAAATAAACACATATAAGTAGGAGCACACAAATACACAAAAGAATAAAACACGCCTCGTAATGTTAAGAGAATCTATATGAAATCTCCGTCCGTCCGTCCTCGTCCGTGCCTGTCAATCCTTTATATAGGTGGGTCTACCGACGCCCAAGCCCTGCCTTCGAGACATTTCGAGAAAAATCCCAATCATTCTACCAAATACTATTTGGAACAGATTAATTATTTTTAGTGGCTGGCGGTGTATACAAGGATACTTCAAAGGCCTAAGCCACGCCCCTTTGTGAACACAGCGTCTCATGCGGGGTCAATCAGAGGGCACGTACGAGAAATATTGTGTAAACAGGCTCTCTGTAACAGTAGCATTATGAACATTTTAGAGAACTAAATTTATTTGCTTCGTTGGTCTTCAAAATCAGTACAGGTAGTTCGAGATTGTAATTTCTATCAATTTCTGCTTGGTATTAAGTCGCTTTAAATATTAGAATGGCTTTCAATCGAGCCAAATTACCTAATAGCTGGCTACTTATCCATTTTTAGGATTGTTCGTTTAAATAGAATTTTCCGATGTAGGTTTTCTTGCACTTTTTTCCTCAAGGTCATGTACTTTGAAATAGTTTGGGGCGCACTTTGCTATTAAGTATTATTTGCCTTTGAGGAAAACGACAGAAGTTACAAAATTCAAGAACCACAATCATGTTTATCCCTTTGTTTATACTATATTACATCGGTTTCATATTCTAAACGAGACTGAATAGCGTATGTGCTATTGATATAGATATTTCTACATCGACCATTACATAAGTTGTTTTTTTATCATTCGTCAAACGATGGTTACCGGTGACAAAACTCAAAGGTTGCCCCAAACTAAGGGCTAGAACTCCAGCGTTAATGGGGAGATAATTAATGTAATGAATAAACGATGATGTGCAGTGAAAAAGTAAACCAACTCTTGTTACTTGGGAGCAAAGAAGTTCAGGCCGTAGAAAAAAAAACAACAACTGATTTTAAAAGTACATCTAGATTGACTAACAATATATATTAAATAAAATAATTTTAAATTTCTTCAAATGCACAACACCAAGACAGGAAAGGCTGAGTAGAAGTGTAAATGATTACCCCGCGAAGCTAGAGGATTCCAAATAAATGTAGACAAAGCATTTTGATTAATTTTTAAACATATTTTCTGCACGGCCTTTTTTTGCGCAATCCATATGAAGTAATTGATCATTATTTTCTATTTTTTAACTCGTTTTGCGTTTATTGCATTTTAAATTATTTGTGATCGAAAGTCTTTTTATTTAAAAGCTTTTTTTAATAAAAAAATTAATTATTTTCTTCTTTTTAGTAATAAAATTGTAATCTTTCAGTTATCGACAAAAAAAAAAATAGAGTTATTTACTAGTTAAACATCGAATGCTTACGAAATATCCGGTTACAGTAAATTAACTCTTCGCTAGGCATATGAACTAAAATGGAGATCTGATTCCTACCCACCCACCCGTTCACTCAGCGAAGCAGACGCGGTCAACCATGATAATTTCAGCGACAGTGTCCACCCGCCTCCGTTGTCCAGTCGTTCACCAGGTGAACACAGCACGAGAAATCTTCAAATGTCACGTGTGTAAATAAACAAATCACGCGCCATACACACATGATAATGGAAACGCGAGTAGAGGAAACATAGGCCTATATAAAACTAAGAAAGTTTCTTTAGCATTTTAAATACTGGCTGTGATTCGGCTTCTGTAGCATTTAATTGTTCCACTGTGGTCAGTATATCCGAAAAGGTGAGCCAAAGGAAAGAGAAATTGTGCGTTCATTTCCCGTGGCTTCACATCAGGATTTGATTTTTAACTTTTTTTTTTTTTTGACTCTGAAATCAAGATTTAAGTTTGAGATTCGAGAATAGTTGTTTGTTTAATTTTTTTAAGTAATCAGCATCATCTTGGTGAAATAATCCTGTTCCCAATCGTATCCGGAAATTTGTTTGAAAGAAATTTCGTCGACGGAAATTGGATTGAACGGAAGTTTGGTAGAATCTTTTTTTTTTCATTCCACAGGATCTAATTCTGCGTCAAAAAGAAATTTGACGGAAATTTTAACGTGTGAACTGAGCAAAAAAAATCGATTAAACTTCCTTCCAATCGAATTTCCGTCGATCAATTTTCCGTCGACGAAAATTATTTCAAAAAATTTCCGGTAACCGTTCCCAATGTATGACTTGACTAGCCAATACACCTGCAACTAAAGTAACGTGCAACAACGACTTACGACCTGTTGCACTTACCTCTATTGTCATGAAATGTTTTGATAAAATAATTCTGAAAGAAATTTTGAATGAAGTGCAGCAAAAACTTGACCCCCATCAATTTGCTTACAAACCTGCAAGAAGTACGGAGGACGCAATCTTACTATTGTTGGAGAGACTTTACCATCACCTAGACAGTCCTAAAACATACGCCAGAGTGCTTTTCTTAGAATTCTCATCAGCATTTAACACCATCCAACCACACCTTATGATAAAGAAACTTTCCTCGTTATGTGTCAATTTAAATGTTCAGGGTTGGATACTGAACTTTTTAACAAATCGACCACAATATGTCAAAGTAAATAACCAAGTATCTCTAACCAGAGAATTAAGCACCGGGCCACCACAAGGCTGCGTTCTCTCTCCTGTACTTTATACACTATATACAAATGATATTCAAAGCTCAAGCGACACCGTTCCAATCTTAAAATTTGGTGATGATACCATGATTGTTGGCTTAATATCTGAAGGAGAAGGCCTATACCGTAACTTAGTAACAAGCTTTATCAATTGGTGCGATGAAAATTTTCTCCAGTTGAATGTCTCAAAAACAAAAGAAATGGTTGTTGATTTCAGGAGGGGGAAACACCAGATTACAGATCTCAACATAAAAAATCAAAATGTGGAGAAAGTGGAGGCATACAAGTACTTAAGTGTCATCATTAATAATAAGCTAACATGGCATGAGCACGGCCACATCCTGTATAAGAAATTCAACCAAAGACTGTGCTACCTCAAAAAAACTGTACAATTTTGGCATAAACAAGCAAGTCGTTAACTTATTCTACCGTGCAACTGTTGGAAGCCTGCTTAATTTCAGTATTACCTGCTGGTATGGGAATTCAACGTCTGATATTAAACACCGCATAAACCGACAAATCAAGAAAGCTAGAAACATAACACAAACTAAACATCCTTCACTTGAATAGCTATTTGAAGAAAGATGTTTTTGCAAAACTAAACACATTTTGGATGATACATCCCACCCTCTTCATCCTAGATACTTAGGATCGGGCCGTTCGGGACGAATTCTTTCCGTCAGGGCGAGGACTGACAGATATAAAAATTATTTTGTTCCCCAATCTGTACGAATTTACCGGCGTGCTTCCTCTAAGTCACACATCTGAATGAGAATTAATAAGTCCCCGATTTTGCTAAGAGAACTCACTGAATGGCTGTTTGAAATAATGTATTATAAATGTCTTGTGTTCAAATTGTTATATTTTTGTGCTGAAAATGTATAATGCAATAAAAAAACATGTCCATTTATTTGGATCAATAAACGATTCCTATCTTATCTTATCTTAACTGTGGAGGTGACGTGATGTCTTGGAACTGATAAGTCAAAGTTATAGAGCCTTAGAATGATGGCATGTCATATAACTTGTTTACTTCCAATTTCATGAAGATATATTGAGTAAAAAAAAAACACCAGTTATTACAAGAATATTAACTCACCTTAAACTTTTTTTTTGGAAACAGCTTTAAAAACAGGAAGTTTAGCTTGAAAAGGCAGCCTTTCATTGTCTATTTTGGAGGAGTTTATTGGCGTGATCTGGAGCTTCTCCTTAATGAAAGGATTTTATTTTAGCATCAGAGGGACTTTGGCTTATTCTTATTATTACTAGATGAAAAAAAACAACACAACAACAGCCAAACAATAGCGGCGGCGATGTGT